CCGTCGCTGTTTCTACGCACGGACACCTCTTTGCCGCCGTTCTACATCATCGTGTACGTCGACGACTTGGTCTTTGCCATGTCTGACACTGCTGGACTCGCGCACGTGAAGTCCGAGCTGCAGAAGAGACACACGTGCACAGACCTGGGTGAACTGCGCAGCTACCTTGGCTTGCAGATCATTCGGGACAGAGCACAGCGCACCATTACCCTGACTCAGTCACACATGGTGCAGCATGTCCTTCAGCGCTTCGGCTTCACGTACTCCTCGCCTCAGGCCACTCCTCTGTCTACTCGCCACTCGCTCTCAGCTCTGCCTTCGGATGAGTCCGAAGAGCCGAGTGGCCCGTACCCAGAGCTTGTTGGCTGCCTCATGTACCTGATGACCTACACTCGACCTGACCTTGCATACCCTCTTAGCATCTTGGCATGCTATGTTGCTCCTGGGAGACACAGACCTGAGCACATGGCTGCAGCGAAGAGGGTGTTGCGCTACTTGTGCAGTACGTCGGGCATGGGGCTCGTGCTTGGAGGGCGGCGTCCAGTGGTCCTCACTGGTCACGTAGACACTTCTTGGGCTGACGACCAGGCTACGCAGCGGTCGTCATAGGGTTTCACCTTCAGCCTTGGTTCCGGCTCTGTTTCGTGGCGGTCTACCCGCTCGTCTTCTGTTCTCGGCTCCAGCTGTGAGGCTGAGATCTACGCAGGGGCCATGGCTGCGCAGGAGTTACGCTGTTTCACCTACCTGCTGACTGACCTAGGAGGCCGCCTCGTTCTTCTCCAGTTCTGTACGTAGACAACAAGGCCATGCTGGCCTTGTGTCGGGAGCACAGACTGGAGCACAGAACGAAGCACATTGCTCTTCGCTACTTCCTTGCTCGTGAGCTTCAGCAGCGTGGTCAGCTGCGCCTTGCTTACGTGGCCTCTAGGGCCAACTGCTGATATCTTTACCAAGGCACTTCTGCCTTGTGATCATTAGCGTTTTTGTACGATGCTAGGTCTTGTGCCTACTTGGCCTCACTTGGTCACTTCTTGACCTTGCTTGTACTGTGATCTGTCTATACCTGCACTTGCTTGTTTACCTTTATATATAATCCTGCATGTGAACTGGCCTTGTGGCCTTGAACTTGTGCTCGGAATGTGTGGTGACGTTGTGATCCACCCTGAGCTTGCCTTGCTTGACTGGTCTTATGACCCCTTGTTCTCCCCCACTTTGCCTATGGGGGTGTTTCAAACATTTAGGTCATACTCCTTCTAGGCTGTAGTGGGGTAGACAGTATGGGGTACAGTTTTCTAGGGTTGCATATTTGTACCCAACCCATTTTCCTAGTCCACGATTCCTCATTCTTTCACACGCCGATGACAACTGTGACGAAGGCGTCTTCCGATATTGACCCTCCGCATCGAAGAAGCTTGTCATGCAATTCGCCGCAGCGACTGATATACGCCATTCCTTTTTCGCCCGGTTTCATCTCGACTGTTTTCAGTTGCACTATTAACCGACTTTGGTTGACGCTGCTTGATACATGTTCTTCAGGTGATTGTATGCGAGCTCGGCGGAGTTGCCGTATCCCTGGTAAGACCGAATGTTCTGCTGCTGAGTCGGTGTGATGTTCCTCAGTAGTATTGTGAACGCCATCATTGATTGGTATGTATACTGCTGCTTGTTGTATTGTGTCCCGTGTGTTGGATATGGCAGGGACCCGTCGAAGAAGCCAAGAATATGTGCGCCTTCCATCATCAGTTTGAATTCGAATGACCAGGTAAAGAAGTCCTTCCTGTCGAACGGTCTTGACGTTTGTAATTTTAAGACGTGCGCAAATTGCGATTCTACTTGAAGTGCGTCCAGTATCTTCTCTTGTTCATGTGCAGGATACTGGCGCGGCATGAAGCTGACTAAACCACGCTGAGGTTTGTACGGGGCAAAGGTAGGCTCTTGTTGCTGGTTTCCTCGCGCGTAGGATGAACCGTCGAGACTTATTGGTGTAACGTTGTTGTTGTTGCTGTTGTTTGACTGCGCAGGTGCCCCTTGCTGGTGTTGCTCGTAGAAGGACATGAAGGAGAAGAATTTCTCCATCATGCTTGGATTGAAGCCCGCGGCTTGGTTTGCGGGGGTTTCGGTAGACCCAGCTGCCGGTCTTGTTGTTGTGCCCTCCTCTGTCTGTAGGCCAGAGGCAGGAGGTGGAGTAGGAGTGGTACCAAGGGAGTCATTGGAGGAGCTTCTCTCCTTCTGAATGGCCATGTCTTCTGATGTTGTAGGTATTTTGATTGTTGAATTAATCTTGACTGCTCTCATACCATGTTGGGCTGAGAAAAGCCCTGAGGATCATTGCAGGACTTAATTCAAGATAGGAATGATGTAATAGCGAAAGCGTTAATGATAACTCTTGTGAACTACCTTGCGGTGGTATGTGAGGGCAAAATAGATTGATTAAAACAAAGAGATACAAGGTTTTTATATAAGAGTACAAGGAATATGAAGAGATACGGTTAATAACTGTTTTACTGCTGCTGTTGCGGTTCGATACAATGACGACTCGGGCAACTTCTCAATAATGAGTCAGTTGTGTGTCCTTGCTGTCGCGCTGTATTTGTCAGGTCAAGGGTCGCTGACCTTTGATCTTCGCGTAACCTCCAGCTGTTGTTCAACCTCCGAGGGTTGACTCGCCAATGCTTCGTTGCACCTTGCTTCGTTTGCAGCTTAGTGTTTCGACACGACAGAGGCGCCTTAAATTACTTGTTCCCAACACTCCCCTTTGCTTATGGAGCGTCGTTGCCGGTGACGTGGCCTTGTCCAGTCAGCAGCATGCAGTACTCGAATTTCTGTTTTCCAAGTTTCTTGGTCAAGTAATCAGCTGCCATCTCAGACGTGGGACAGTAGGACAGCTCGAGTCTCCCCTTCTCGATCTCGTCTTTCACGAAGAAGTATCGCAGGGCAATATGCTTCGTCCTGTTCGCGAATCTATTTTTGTTGGCGATGCGAATTGCATATTGGTTGTCACTAAACAGAGAGAAATTGGGTAACTGGGCCAATTTCGCCTCTTCCAGCAGTTCGTGAAGGTAGAGTCCTTCCTTGGTGGCTCAGCAGAGTGCAATATATTCTGCTTCAGCTGAGGAGAGGGCGATTAGTTCCTGCTTGCTCGACTGCTAGGAGATGGGCTCGATAGGTTCAAGTCGGTAGATGTAGCCGGTGCGCGAGCGCCTGTTCTCAGGGTCAGCGGCGTGATCAGCGTCGACATAGCCGATTAACTTAGGTGCCGTAGTTCCCGTCTTGTAGTAAGTTTGCCCGATCGTCGGGGTGCTGACGAGGTAGTGTAGTGCGCAGTCGAGCTCCGCCATGTGCTCTGCTTCAGGTTTCTTGAGGTAGGTAGCGAGTTGGCTTGCGGAGTAGGAGAGATCCGATCGGCAGGTGACGGCTGTGAAGAGCAAGCATCCCTATTTTCGTTGGTAGTTGCGTATGCCGGCGGGTTTGAGTAGGACGGAGCTTTCTTTCTAATTTCGGGTAGTGTAGCGGTATGGCGTAGTGATGGCAGTTGGGGTGAATCCGAAGCGTTTGTCGATGGTGTCGGTGTATTTCGCAGCACTGAGGTAGATCGCGTTCTCTTCCTCCTGAATGTTGAGGCCGAGGTACTGCGTGATGGTGGTCGAAATCGTGAGCGTGAGGTCTTGCTTCAACTCCCCTTCAAACCAGGTGGTGATGTTGTCGGTCGAGCCAACGTAGAGTAGGTCGTCCACGTAGACGATAAGCAGGATGTAATCGTCACCTTTCGACAATCGATACATGCCTTGTGTAAAGAAATGAGGAATGATTGCATTGAGCAGCATGAGGAGTACAAGTAGGAAACCCTAAAGTGTTGTACCCCATATGAGCTACCCCACTACAGCCTACACAGACTATAGCATATAAATCTGACACACCCCCATAGGCAAAGTGGGGGAGAACAAGAGGTCACAAGACCAGTCAAGAGAAGCAAGGCAAGCTCAGGGTGGATCACAACGTCACCACACAATCTGAGCACAAGCACAAGGCCAGTTCACATGCAGAGTTATATATCAAGATGAACAAACAAGGCAGTGATCTCAACTTAGCAAGGGTAAGCATGCAAGTGCAGGTATATATAGCTCACAGTACAAGCAAAGTCAAGAAGTGAGCAAGTGAGGCCAAGTAGGCACAAGACCTAGCATAGTGCAAAAGCGCCGATGATCACAAGGCGGAAGTGCCTTGGTAAAGATATCAGCAGTGTTGGCCTCAGAGGCCACGTAAGCAAGGCGCAGCTGACCGCGCTGCTGCAGCTTACGAGCAAGGAAGTAGCGAAGAGCAATGTGCTTCATTCTGTGCTCCGGTCTGTGCTCCCGACACAAGGCCAGCATGGCCTTGTTGTCTACGTACAGAACTGGAGGAGAACGAGGCGGATCTCCTAGGTCAATCAGCAGGTAGGTGAGCCAGCGTAGCTCCTGTGCAGCCACGGCCCCCGCGTAGATCTCAGCCTCACAGCTGGAGCCGAGAACAGAAGACGAGCGGGTAGACCGTCACGAAACAGAGCCAGAGCCAAGGCTGAAGGTGTAACCCTGTGAGGACCGCTGCGTAGCCTGGTCGTCAGCCCAAGAAGCGTCTGCGTGACCTGTGAGGACCACTGGACGTCGCCCTCCAAGGACTAGCCCCATGCTCGACGTACTGCACAAGTAGCGCAACACCCTCTTCGCTGCAGCCATGTGCTCTGGTCGGTGTCTCCCAGGAGCAACATAGCGTGCAAGAATGCTAAGAGGGTATGCAAGGTCAGGTCGTGTGCAGGTCATCAGTTACATGAGACAGCCAACAAGCTCTGGGTACGGGCCACTCGGCTCTATGGACTCATCTGAAGGCAGAGCTGAGAGTGAGTGGCGAGTAGACAGAGGAGTGGCCTGAGGCGAGGAGTACGTGAAGTCGAAGCGCTGAAGGACCTGCTGCACCATGTGTGACTAAGTCAGGGTAATGGTGCGCTGTGCTCTGTCCCGGGTGATCTACAAGCCAAGGTAGTTGCGCAGTTCACCCAGGTCTGTGCACGTGTGTCTCTTCTGCAGCTCAGACTTCACGTGGGCGAGTTCAGCAGTGTCAGCAGTGGCAAAGACCAAGTCATCGACGTACACGAGGATGTAGAACGGCGGCAAAGAGGTGTCGGAGTGCAGAAACAGCGACGGGTCGGCAGTAGAAGGAGCAAACCCAAGAGCCACAAGTGTACTCCTCAGTGTGTCGTGCCACTCACGGGGTGCCTGGCGGAGACCGTAGACTGGCCGCCGGAGGCTCCAGTGGGTACCAGGAGGAAGCAACCCAGTGAAGCGAGGTGGGCGGCGCAGCCAGATCTCCTCGTGCAGGCTGCCCTGCAAGAAAGCAGTGCTGAAGTCAAGAGAGTGCAGCTCGTAGTCACGGTGAGCAGCTATGTGCAGCAGTACCCGAAGAGTGGTCATCTTTGGGGTGGGAGAGAAGGTCTGAAAGTAGTCAACTCCCTGCCGCTGACTGAAGCCACGAGCCACGTAACGCGCCTTGAAGACAAGCGGAGAACCCGGCGGCCGCTTCACCCTGAAAATCCACATGCCACTGACGATGTTCGCCCCAGGTGTGGGAACCTCGTCCACGTAGGTGCCTGTGGACTTCCAGGAAGCCATCTCTGCGTCCAGGACTGACTGCCACTGTGAGGAGTAGGGACCCTCGATCGCCTGAGCGTACGATCGAGGAGTCGGGATGTCTGGTGCATCCGGGTCTCCCTCGGGGGCAATCAGCGTGGAGACGAGATGAGGCAAAGCAGCATCAAAACACTGGAACTCCTCCTGCCTGTCCTCAATGACGTCCATGCTAAGAGCACACTCACCCCCGACGGACGAAGGACAGACAGACTCAGACTCAGCAACAAGACTAGCAGCGTAGTCTAGACGACAGCGAGCAGCAAAGTCGACAAGCTCAGCAACTAAGGCAGACGCAACAGTGGACTCAAAAGAAGGGTCAGTGACAACAATAGCCAGGAGACGCGTGACAGTAGGACTGGTAGCACGAAGAGAGTCAGACTCCGGGTCAGCAAGAGTAGGAAGAGAGGACTTTGGAGGAGACGGCAACGGGACACGCAGAGGAGCAGTGGAAGGACGCAGTGCCATCTGGTGTGTGTCGGGGACAGCAGAAGAACGCGGGCGCGGAGCACGACCACTAGTGCGAGCAGCACGAACAGGCCACGCAGGACGAGACGCAGGCTCACGACGCTCAGCAACACCTCCAGTAGGACCAGTGTAGGGAGAAGGAGAAGGCAGGGGGGAGGCGGGCTGTAACTGTGACCGCGACTGGACAGGCTGTGGACACGCTAAGGGAGGAGCAGGACCAATAGAGGGCGGGAGACCAAGAACCTGCTCAAGTAGCGGAACGAAGTACCGCCTCGGCCGCGCAGTGCCTCCAGAACCAGCAGGGACAGCACCAGTACCCCCAGCGGCAGCACCAGCGCCAGCAGCACCTCCAACTCCAACAACGCCAACTCCTGCACCCTCAGAAGCACCGGCGCCAGCAGAACCACCAGCGCCAACACCCCCAGCAGCTCTAGATCCAGTAGCTCTAGCAGCTCCAGCAGCACCAACTCCAGCAGGTCCGTCAGCTCCAGTACTGCCAGCAGCTCCAACAGTACCTCCAGCAGGACTCCCAGCCCCAGCAGCTCCAGAACCGCCAGGACGAGCACCTCCAGGACCAGCAGCAACAGTAGTACCTCCAGCTCCAGCAGCACGGCTCCAACGCCGGGCAAACCATTCGCACAGCTCCTGCGGAGAGAGTAGCTACCGCCTCGACGAAGCACCGCCAGAGGCCACACGAGCAGACCCAGCACCCCCAGGCTCCGCATCCCTAGGCTCAGCACCCCCAGGCTCCGTACCCACAGGCTTAGCACCCCTGGACTCAGCACCCCCAGGCTCAGCACCCGTAGACTCAGCACCCCCAGGCTCCGCATCCCCAGACCCGGCACCCGCAAGCTCAGCGCCCCTAGCAACACCAGAGTCAACAGCTTCCTCGACCGGCTCAACTGCGTCTACCTGGGACACACCTGACAGGGCAGGACCCTGAGGGGGGAGGGGGTCTACCGGAGGAGGACTTGGCACAAGGAAGAGCGACGGCGGGGGGAGGGGTGCAGTGCGGTAGGGGAGGAGACGGTAGTAAGGCACCGACTTGTCAAAGGTGACGTCCTGTGAGGACAGAACACGGCGTGAGGTGGGGTGGTAAAACTGCCAAATAGGCGCGTTAGGGGGGAAGCCAAGGAAGACGCAGGGGACAACACGGGGGGACAGCCTGTCCGCAGACAAGTCGCGGACAAACGCCCGAGATCCCGAGACCCGAAACACAGACGCATCGCCAACCTTCACTGTCCACCGCAAGGTGGGGGAGGTCTCTGGCAAGGAGACCCGGGGCTGGAGGTTGAGCTGATGCGCTGCGTACTGAACCGCAAACGGCCACAGAAAATGGGGGGCAGCCGCATGCATCATGGACGTACGAGCGACGTCCATGACCATGCCAATGCGGCGCTCAGCAATCCCATTTTGCTGTGGAGAGGCCGGAAGCGTGAAGGTCTGGCGGATGCCCTGTGCATGACAGAAGGCTCCCAGACGGGCAAAGGAAAACTCTCCGCCTCTGTAAGAGTGCAGACGCAGAACAGGAAAGTCCGAGCCGAAACTCTCTCTGAGCTTGAGACGAGCTGCGCGGATCCAGTCGATCAACACCTCAGTGACGTCACCCTTGCTGCGCAAGGGGAACACCGTGGTGTAACACGAGTAGTCGTCAACCACCAACAGGAAGTAACGCTCGTGACCCTGGCCACGGACGCGGGCGGGGCCCCACACGTCCATGTGAAGAGTCTGCAGGGGAGCCTCTGTCCGAGGAAACTCGGAGGAGTGAGGAGCGGCGCGCTGCCGCCCCTCGACGCAGGGGACGCAGGTAAGGGCAGGCCCCGGAGGTAGGGGAGGGAGGGACCCGGGGAGACCAGAGACAAGGACACATGAGGCCATGCCTCGGAGACGAGGCAGGGAGGGGTGACCAAGGCGGTGGTGCCAAAGGAGAATCTGGTGGGACAGGAGACGACACGAGCAGGGAGCAGACTCAGGACCAGACCTGGACGCTGTAGCAAACACCTGACTCGGCGCAGCTACCTAACCAGACTCAGCAACAGGAGGAGACTCAGTGGTGAGTGTGTACAGGCTCGACCCCGGCTGACGGGTAAATGTGGCCAAGTGTCGGCCCATCCGAGCGCACGTGCAGTGGGTCACCCGCTGACTCGTAGGCGTGAACTGGTCAACCCCCCGATCCAGAAGATCAGCTCCACTCACCAAGCTCGTAGAGAACGAGGGGAGTTAGAGACCTGACAGGGTGCTAGAGGGGGGTGCCGGACACGATAAGACAGTGGAGAAGCTAGCAAGGACAGGACCCCCAGAGGGGTCCACCAGGGAGACCGCAACCGGCCGACTAAGCGGCGTAAGCGTGGTGCGGTCTCGAAAGAAGGAGCGGGAAGCACTCGAGTCAAGGGTGAAGGTGTGCAAGGCCTGAGCCGACGTGGTACCTGAGAGAGCACACTCACCAGCACCTGGGGCAGCAGACGCACTAGCACCTAGAGCAGTAGCCTCACCAGCACCTAGAGTAGCAGCCTCAATGCCCGTATCAGGAGGAACAGACAAGTAACAGTCACCGTCATCACTAGTGGACACAGCATACATGGCAGCAAGAATAGCATCATAGTCAAGATCAAAGATAGCAACCCCCGCCCTAGACAGCTCTCCCCAGCGAGGGATCTCAGTGGCGTCAGGGAACTGATGACGCCAAGCGTCCGTCAGGCGGCCGAAGCAGCGCTGGGTGGAGTGCGTGCCCCCGCACTGCTCACCAGCGCGGTCGCCTGTACGGAGGACGTAGGTGCAGGGACCAGTACCCCCACCCCGCTGACGCCCAGCGTACCACTCACGAAGCTGCTGAGGGGACAGGGTCTCACGTCTGTGCTGCTCCTGCTGGCGCGGACCACCACGAGAGCCACTCCTCTGCGCAGAGCCGCCAACAGCTCCACCACTGCCTTTGCCGCCTCCGCCACCTCCGCCGCCTCCGCCACCTCCGCCGCCTCCGCTCCCTCCGTCACCACCGCCGCCTCCTCCGCCTCCACTGCTGCCACCGACACCTCCACCCCTGCCACCACTCCTACCACCACCCCCACCCCCTCCACTGCCTCCACCACCACCTCCACCGCCCCCACCAGCCCCTCCAACGCCCTTGCCCTCCTTGACCTTGCCAGTGCGGCGTTTCCCACTAGGGGCAGACGCAGCGCCGACCGACTCGAAGCCAACGAGGTCGGCCGCAGCAGCAGAAGCAACAGAGGGCAAGGGGGGGAGGGAGAACACCCCTCAAAGACGGGGGTGCGAGGGTCACCACGAGAGGCTCATACAGCGACTATGCTCTTCTCTGCTGCTGGGAGGCGCTCCTCGAGGAGGTCAACGGTGAGTGTGGTGGGGCAAACTGAGAGGAAGCGGTCCCTGACTAAGCGAAGGGAGTCAGGGAGTCGGGTGACTATGTAGTAGAGGGTGATGTACATGGGGGGGGGGTTCTTGGCACAGAACTCAGCAGGAAGTGCAGCGCGGTAGCGAGTGTCACTAGTGCGAAGGTTCGTAATGAGGTCAGCGACTGTGGGAAAGGCAACAAGGTCAGGGAACAGGTACGGTAGCATGAGGCGGCTAAGAGCAGCAGTGGCAGGGGAAGAGTAGCGTGCAACTACAGCGTCGTACAAGGTCTTAGCACTCTTGTCAGGCTAAAGTGCGCACGCTCAGTGGTCGGTAAGTGGCGACGCACAGCAAGACGGGCAGCAGCATCGCGCGTGGCCCACTGTGAGCGAACAGTGCTGTCAGAAGTAGCAGGCGGGGCAGGAGAGACACTAGAGGTGAGATCGAACAGGGAGAGTCCGTCTGCCCTATTGCACTGTAAGAACAGCTGGAGGTCATCGACCCAGACCTCAAAGTCAACAGCACGACCCTCAGTATCAAAGGTAAGGACACTGGGGGTAGCCATGACTGCAGTGGCCTAGCAGGGAGTGAGTTCACCAGTCCAAGGAAGTAGGGCCGGGGCGCGCCGGTAGGAACAGTAGCGGCTCGACGGCAGGGCGGCTCGGTGGCTCGGCTGCTGGGCGGCACGGCGGCTCGGCGGCTCGGCGGTTGGGCGGCTCGGCGGCTTGGCTGTTGGGCGGCTCGGCTGCTGGGCGGCTCGGCGGCTCGGCTGTCGGGCGCCGCGGCTGCTGGGCGGCTTGCGGTGTGGTGGCTCGGCTGCTCAGCTGCTGGGCAGCTCAGCGGTGAAGGGGCCGGTAGAGGTGGCGACGGGGCCGCGAAGAGCGGCAACGGGGTCGTTAGGGGCGGCGACGGGGCTGCTAGGGTCGGCGACGGGGCCGTTAGGGTTGGCGACGGGGCCACTAAGGACGGCGAGGTGGCCGCGAAGGGCGGCGACGGGGCCTCCAGGGGCGGCGACGGGGCCACTAAGGGCGGCAACGGGGTCGTAGAGGGGCCGTAAGGGGCCTAGAGGGGGCGGCGACGGGGCCGCAAGGGGCGGCGGCGGGGCCGTGAAGGGGCCGCGAGGGGCCTGGAGGGGCGGCGACGGGGCCTAGAGAGGCGGCGACGGGGCCGCGAAGGGGCCGCGAGGGGCCTAGAGGGGCGGCAACGGGGCCGCTAGGGGCGGCAACGGGGCCGCAAAGGGGCCGCGACGGGCCTAGAGGGGCGGCGACGGGGCCTAGAGCGGCGACGACGGGGCCGTGAGAGGGGCCGTGAGGGGCCGTGAAAGGGGCCGCGAGGGGCCTGAGGAGGGCACGACGCGCCGCTAAGGGCTAGGGACGCGACATGAGGTAGGGCACATGGGGCGTGACTCGGGCAGGAGGGAAGCCCGCGCCGGGTAGGAAAACATTTTTCAGTGGTGGGCCCTAGGAAACGTTCCCACTAGGGAACCTGCTCTATACCATGAAAAGAAATGAGGAATGATTGCATTGAGCAGCATGAGGAGTACAAATAGGAAACCCTAAAGTGTTGTACCCAATATGAGCTACACAGACTATAGCATATAAGTCTAACACCTTGGTCATGCGGTAGTTGGTGAAAACAGATGTGGACGAGCCTAGCGTGTAGGTACTGCTGCCACAGTCTCGGTGCCTGTTTGATGCCGTACAGGGACTTCAGTAACTGACAGACCTGGTTAGGCTCTCCGTTGGAGCCGTGGGGGAGTTCGACAAAGATTTCCGCGTCGACAGGTGCGTAGAGGAATGCGTTGGCGACTCGATTTGCCGTAGTTTCTTCTTCTTCATGGCGGCGATCGCGAGGAGAATTCGAAGTGAGATATGTCAGCTAACAGGAGCGAATGTCTCGGTGAAATCGCGTCCGTGCTCCTGTTCGAATCCACGCACGACCCAGCGTGCTTTGAATTTCTCGATGGTACCATCTGCTTTCGTTTTCACGCGGAAAACCCATTTTCCGGTGAGAATGGTCTTGTTGCGTGCCACGCGGATGGGAACGACCTTCCAGGTGTTCCGTTCTTCCAGCGCCTTCAATTCTTTGTCCATGGCTTCGTGCCATTTCTCCCTGTGTCCCCCCCCCAGAGCCTGCTGAACCGCTGCAGGCTCCTTAGGTATGGTCGTGCCGTGGACTGCGGTGACGGGGCCGAGGATTTGAAGTCCACTCTGTGTGTAGCGGGGGAGATTTGTGTCCTCGGGATAAGCTGCTTCGTCTCCCGCTTCTAAGTCAGCTATGAAGTTCGGCCCTATGCATTCTGCTTCGTAAGTGTTGAGTGTCGCAGGTGTTACGTAACCGTTGTCGGCGAAATAATAGTAAGTTTTGGCGTTGATAGTTTCGCGAGGATTTTCGTTATCCATGGGGACGTCGACGGAGCAGTAAGGAAGAGGTCCGACTTCTTCCAAGGCATTATCCACATTTTGCTCGTCCCAGTCAGCTTCGTCTGCTACCGAGGCGAAGGCTCGGTCACCACAAAAACCACCTGTGGGATCCCGGTCTCCTTGCAGGTTGGCAAGGTATGTCTGAAGTGTGAGTCGTTCGTAGAAAATCACATCACGTGGTGCTACTGTTTCCTTGGAGTGGATGTCGAAAATCTTCCACGCATTGTAATTCTTTTTGATGCCCAGGTGTATTCCCCACTGTGCACGTTGGGAGAATCGGCCCGCTCGTGCTGCTGGGGGTTGGTACTGTACCATGCATACGAAAACCCGTAACATTTTTGTGCTGCCCTGTTTCCCTGTCCACAGCAGATGTGGTGATGCGTTGTTCGGGAGCGATGATGACGAGAGCAAGTTGTGCAGCATGACGGCGTGGTCCATTGCTTCGGGCCGCTGGTGGTTGGGTAGCCGCATGCCACGTTACAGCTTGCGCATGGTGTTCTGCAGAGTCCTGTTCATTCTTTATGCTACACCTTGCTGTTGGTGGGCGTAGGGAAGGGAGATGAGCCGCTTGATTTCCCATTCTGCCAGGTACTGCTTGAACCTCTGTGAGGTGTATTCTCCTCCTCCATCTGACTGGAAGCTTTTCAGCTTCACTTCCGACTCTCTCTCTGCTACTGGTAGCCAGGCAACGAAGGCCATGTCGCGGCTTGGGAGATTAATATGCCAGACGTAGCGAGTGGCGGCGTCGATGAAGGTGATGGTAAAATTATATCCTCCTTGTTTCGGTTCCCGATTGTACAGGATGTCGCTGTACACCTTCTCAAGTGGTGCATAAGCTGGTGCGCTCGAGTTATGGTGAGAAGCGAACGGCCGATGTGGTAAGTCGGCTTCGGGGTAGGTAAGGTATGTTCCTCGAGCTCGTTGAAGTTCTCTGTGTTGAGATAGAGGCGAGGAATGAGTGCACTATGAAATGAAACAAGTACAAGTACCAACCCTAATTGGGTTGTACCCCCTATGGGCTACCCCACTACAGCCTAAATATATGCATCAGTAATATAATCATCTGACACACCCCCATAGGCAAAGTGGGGGAGAGCAAGGGGTCACAAGACCAGTCAAGCAAAGCAAAGCAAGCTCAGGGTGGATCTCAAGGATACCACACAAATTCCGAGCACAAGGTCAAGGCCACAAGGCCAGTTCACATGCAGCAGAGCATATATATATAATAGTGCTAAACAAACAAGAGCAAGGATATATATATGCAGCAGTACAAGCAAGGTCAAGAGGTAAGCAAGTGAGGCCCAGTGGGCACAAGGCCTAGCAGAGTGCAAAAGCGCTGATGGTCACGAGGCGGAAGTGCCTTGGTGAACACATCAACAGTGTTGGCCTCAGTGGCCACGAAACGCAGACGAAGCTGACCACGCTGCTGCAGCTCTCGAGCAAGGAAGTAGCGCAGAGCAATGTACTTCGTCCTGTGCTCCAGTCTGTGCTCCTCACACAAGGCAATGGTTGCCTTGTTGTCGACGTACAGCACTGGAGGAGAACAAGGCCGCTCTCCAAGGTCAGTCAGCAGGTAGGTGAGCCAGCGAAGCTCCTGGGCAGCCATGGCCGTGGCGTAGATCTCAGCCTCACAGCTGGAGCTGAGAACCGAAGAAAAGCGAGTAGAGCGCCAAGAGACAGAGCCAAAGCCAAGACTGAAGGTGTAACCCTGAGACAACCTCTGAGTAGCCTGGTCGTCAGCCCAAGAAGCGTCTGAGTGCCCAGTGAGCACAGGCCGCTCACGCCCTCCAAGCACTAGCCCCATGCCCGACGTACTGCACAAGTAGCGCAACACCCTCTTAGCTACATCCATGTGCTCCTTCCGGTGACGGCCGGGAGCAACAAAGCGTGCTAAGATGCTGAGAGGGTATGCGAGGTCAGGTCGAGTGCAAGTCATCAGGTACATGAGGCAGCCCACAAGCTCTGGATACGGACCACTCGACTCTACGGACTCATCCGAAGGCAGAGCTGAGAGCGAGTGTCCCGTAGGCAGAGGAGTGGACTGAGGCGAGGAGTACGTGAAGCCAAAGCGCTGAAGGACCTGCTGCACCATGTGTGACTGAGTCAGGGTAATGGTGCGGCGTGCTCTGTCCCGGGTGATCCGCAAGCCAAGATAGCTTGTCAGTTCACCCCGGTCTGTGCACGTGTGTCTCTTCTGCAGCTCGGACTTCACGTGGGCGAGTGCGGCAGTGTCCGCAGTGGCAAAGACCAAGTCGTCGACGTACACGAGGATGTAGAACGGCGGCAGCGAGGTGTCGGTGCGCAGAAACAGCGATGGGTCAGCAGTAGAAGGAGCAAACCCAAGAGCCGCAAGTGTAGTCCTCAGTGTGTCGTGCCACTCACGCGGCGCCTGGCGGAGACCGTAGACTGGCCGCCGGAGGCTCCACTGGGTACCAAGAGGGAACGACCCAGTAAAGCCAGGAGGGCGACGCAGCCAGATCTCCTCGTGCAGGCGGCCCTGCAGGAAAGCAGTGCTGAAGTCAAGAGAGTGTAGCTCGTAGTCACGCTGAGCAGCGACGTGCAGTAGAACCCGAAGAGTGGTCATCTTCGGGGTCGGGGAGAAGGTCTGAAAGAAGTCAACTCCCTGTCGCTGACTGAAGCCACGAGCCACGTAGCGCGCCTTAAAGACAGGCGGAGAACCCGGCGGCCGCTTCACCCTGAAGATCCACATGCCACTGACAATGTTCGCCCCAGGAGGGGGAACAGCGTCAACGTAGGTGCCTGTGGACTTCCAGGAAGCCATCTCTGCGTCCATGGCTGACTGCCACTGAGAGGAGTAGGGACCGGCCATCGCCTCTGCGTAAGAGCGTGGGGTCGGAATGTCTAGAGCATCCGGGTCTCCCTCAGGGGCAACAAGCATGGACACGAGATGGGGCAAAGCGGCGGCAAAGCACTGGAACTCCTCCTGCCTGTCCTCAAGGACGTCCGTGCCAAGAGCACAGTCACCCCCAACGGACGGAGGACAGGCTGACGCAGACGCAGTAGACGCAGACTCAGCAGACTCAGCAACAAGACTGGCTGCGTAGTCCAGACGACACGCAGCAGCAAAGTCGACCAGCTCAGCAACTAGGGCAGACGCAGCAGCGGACTCAAAGGAAGGGTCAGTGACAAGAGTAGCAAGAAGACGCGTGACAGTAGGACTGGCAGCACGGTAAGAGTCCGACTCCGGGTCGGCAAGTGTAGGAAGAGAAGACTGAGGAGGAGAAGGCAAAGGGGCACGCAGAGAAGCAGTGGACGGACGCAGAGACATCTGGTGCGTGCCAGGGACAGGAGGAGGACGCTGACGCGAACCGCGACCACTAGGGCGAGCAGCTCGGACTGGCGACGCAGGGCGGGACCAGGCTCACGACGCTCAGCAAGACCTCCAGTAGGACCAGCGTAGGGAGAAGGAGAAGGCAGGGGAGAGGCGGGCGGTAACTGTGACCGTGACGGGACAGGCTGCGGACACTCTACGGGAGGAGAAGGACCAGTGGAAGGCGGGAGACCAAGAACCTGCTGAAGGAGCGGAACGAAGTACGGCCGAGGCCGCGCAGCACCGCCAGAGACAGCAGGGACAGGACCAACACCTCTAGAGGCAGCACCAGCACCAGTAGCAGCTCCAACTCCAGCACCACCAGCAGCTGTAGAAGTACCCGCAGTAGGACCCACAGTCGTAGCCTCAGCGCCAGCACCCGCAGCAACTCCAGCTCCAGAGGCACCCCCGGGCCCGGCAGCTCCAGTACCCTCAGTACGAGCACCTCCGGGACCCGTGGTACTAGCTCCCTCGGCAGCAACGGAACCTCCAGCACCCGCAGTACCCCCAGCTCCAGCAGCTCGCCTCCAGCGCCGGGCAAACCACTCACGCAGCTCCAGAGGAGAGAGCGGCTCGCGGCGCGAAGAACGGTCTGGAGAACCTCCAGGAACAGAAGCATCAGGCGCAACACTCCCAGACGCAGAACCCCCAGGCTCAGCACCCCCAGGCACAGCACCCCCAGGCTCAGCACCCCCAGGCTCACTACCCCCAGGCTCAGCACCCCCAGTCTCAGCACCCCCAGGCTCAGTACCCCCAGGCTCAGCACCCCCTGGCTCAGCACCCCCAGTCTCAGCACCCCCAGGCTCAGCACCCCCAGTCTCAGCACCCCCAGTCTCAGCACCCCGAGGCTCCGCACCCGCAGCAGCACCAGAGTCACCAGTGACCTCGACAGGCTCGACCGCGTCTACCTGAGACACACATGAAGGGGCAGGACCCTGAGGGGGGAGGGGGTCTACCGGGGGGGGACCTGGGACCAGGAAGAGGGGCGGGGGGGGGAGGGACGGAGTGCAGTAGGGGAAGAGCCGGTAGAAGGGAACCGACTCGTCGAACGTGACGTCCTGGGAGGACAGAACACGACGAGAGGTGGGGTGGTAAAACTGCCACCCAGGTGCGTCAGGGGGGACACCCAAGAAGACGCAAGGAGCAGCACGAGGGGACAGCTTGTCCGCAGACAAGTCGTGGACGAGCTGCGCGGATCCAGCCGATCAGCACCTCAGTGACATCACCCTTGCTGCGCAAGGGGAAGACTGCGGTGTAACGCGAGTAGTCATCAACAACAAGCAGGAAGTAGCGCTCATGACCCTGTCCACGGACGCGGGCTGGGCCCCACACGTCCATGTGAAGCGTCTGCAGCGGGTCCTCTGTCGGAGGAAACTGGGAGGAGTGAGGGGCAGCCCGCTGGCGCCCCTCGACACAGGGGACACAGGAAGGGCCAGGCCCCTGAGGAAGGGGAGGGAGGGACCTGGGGAGACCAGAAAAAAGAAGATGGGAGGCCATGCCTTGGAGCCGAAGCAGAGAGGGGTGATCAAGGCGGTGGTGCCAGAGGAGAGTCTCGTGAGACAGGAGCCGACACGAACAAGGGGCAGACTCAGGACCAGACCTGGACGCTGCAGCAAACACCTGACCCGACGCAGCTACCCTACCAGACTCAGCAACTGGAGGAGACGTAGTGGTCAGTGTGTACAGGCTCGACCCCGGCTGACGAGTAAACGTAGCCAAGTGTCGGCCTGTGCGAGCCTCTGTGCAGTGCGTCACTCGCTGACGCGCAGGAGTGAACTGGTGCACTCCCCCATCCTGTAGGTCAGCACCACTCACCAAGTTCGTAGAGAACGAGGGGAGGTAGAGACCAGACAGGGTGCCAGAGGGAGCAGCCGGGCACGGGAGGACTGTGGAGAAGTGAGACAGGACAGGACCCCCGGAGGGGTTAGCCAGAGACACCGCAACCGGCCGACTAAGTGGCGTGAGTGTGGTGTGGTCCCAAAAGAAGGAGCGAGAAGCCCTAGAGTCAAGAGTGAAGGTGAGGGAGGCCGAAGCCGACGTAGTACCTGAGAGCGCAGACTTACCAGTACCTGAGGACGCAGACGCACTGGCACCTAGAGCAGCAGCGTCGCAAGCACCTAGGGCAGCAGCTGCACCAGTACCTAGAGCAGCAGTCTCAATGCCCGGATCGGGCGGGAAACACCGGTAACAGTCACCCTCATCACTAATAGTCACAGCATACATGGCAGACAGAATAGCATCAAAATCAAGATCATAGATGGCAACTCCTGCCCTAGACAGCTCTCCCCAGCGAGGGATCTCAGTGGCCTCAGGGAACTGGTGACGCCACGCGTCCGTCAGGCGGCCAAAGCAGCGCTGGGTTGGGTGCGCACCCCCACATTGCTCACCCGCACGGTCGCCGGTGCGCAGGACGTAGGTGCACGGACCAAAACCCCCACCCCGCTGGCATGTAGTGTACCACTCACGGAGCTGCTGAGGGGACAGGGGCTCACGACCGCGCTGCTGCTACTTGCGCGGACCAACACCGGAGTCACTCCTCTGCGTAGACCCGCGACCAGCTCCACCGCCACCTCCGCCTCCTCCGCCGCCTCCGCCGCCTCCGCCACCTCCGCCACCACCGCCGCCTCCGCTACCACCACCGCCTCGGCTTCCTCCGCTACCGCCGCCGTCCCCGCTACCACTGCTGCCACCGGTACCCCCACCCCCTCCACCACTCCCACCACCACCCCCACTCCCTCCGCCGCCTCCACCGCCACCACCACCGCCCCCGCCAGCTCCTCCAACGCCCTTGCCCCCCTTGCCCTTGCCTGTGCGGCGCTTCCCCGACGGGGCAGACGCCGCACCAACCGACTCGAAACCAACGAGGTCGGTCGCAGCAGCAGAAGCAACAGAGGGCAAGAGGGGGGAGGGAGAACACCCCTCAAAGACAGGGGTGCGGGGGTCACCACGAGAGGCTCCTACAGCGTCTATGCTCTTCTCCGCCGCTAGGAGGGCCTTCTCGAGGAGGTCAATGGTGAGAGTGGTGGGGCACACTGCGAGAAAGTGGTCCCTGACTACTCTAAGGGAGTCAGGGAGTCGGGTGACTATGAAGTAGAGGGTGATGTACATGGGGGGGGGGTTCTTGGCGCAGAAGTCAGCAGGAAGCGCAGCGCGGTAGCGAGTGTCACTAGTGCGGAGGTGCGTAATGAGATCAGCGACTGTAGGAAAGGCAGCAAGGTCAAGGAAGAGGTACGGCAGCATGAGACGGCTCAGTGCAGCAGTGGCAGGGGAGGAGTAGCGTGCAACTACAGCGTCGTACAAGGTCTGAGCACTCTTGTACTGACTAAAGTGTGCATGCTCGGAGGTAGGGAGGTGGCGACGCACAGCAAGACGTGCAGCAGCGTTGCGTGTGGCCCACTTGGAACGAACAGTGGCGCCAGCATCAGCAGCAGGGGCAGGGGAAGCGCCAGAGGTGAGGTCAAAGAGAGAGAGGCCGTCTGCCCTATCGCACTGTAAGAACAGCTGCAGGTCATCGACCCAGACCTCAAAGTCAATGGCCCGACCCTCAGCATCAAAAGCGAGGACACTAGGGGTAGCCATGACCACAGTAGACTAGCAGTGCAAACAGTAGGGTGAGGGCAGTGCAGTGAAGGAGACGTAGTGCTGGACGGAGCTCGGGCGGCTCGGCAGCAGGGCAGCTCGGTAGCAGGGCGGCTCGGCGGCTCAGCGGCTCGGCTACTGGGCGGCTCGGCTGCAGTGCGGCTCGGCGGCCCGGCGGCTCGACTGTACGGCGGCTCGGCTGCTGGGCGGCTCGGCTGCAGGGCGGCTCAGCTGCTGGGCGGCTCGGCTGCGAGGCGGCTCGGCTGCCTGGTCGCTCCGTCGCCCGGGCGGCCCGACGGTGCTGCTGCAGGGCGGCGCGGCGATTGGCTGCTCGGCTGGGTGGGGCGGGTCGGGCAGCTCTGGTGACGAGCGGCGCTGCAGCAAGTGACGGGGCCGCAGAGGAGAGCGGCGGGGCCGCAGGTGAGAGGCGGCGAGGCCGCAGCAGAGGGCGGCGTGGCCGCAGGTGACAAGGGCGGCTTTAGGCCGCAGGTGAGAAGGGCGACGACGGGCGGTTGTTAGGGCGGCGTTGGGCCGCTGTTGAAAGGGCGGCGACGGGCGGCTGCTAGGGCGGCGACGGGGCGCTCCTAGGGCGGTGACGGGCCGCTGCTAGGGTGGCGACTGGTCGCTGCTAGGGCTGCGACGGGCCGCTGCTAGGGTGGCGACGGGCCGCTGCTAGGGCTGCGACGGGCCGCTGCTAGGGTGGCGACGGGCCGCTGTGAAAGGTAAGGGCGACGGGTCGCTAAGGGCGACGGGCCGCTAAGGGCTGCTAAGGGCGACGGGCCGCTGCTAGGGCGACGGGCCGCTAAGGGCGACGGGCCGCTAAGGGCGACGGGCCGCTAAGGGCGACGGGCCGCTAAGGGCGACGGGCCGCTAAGGGCCGCTAAGGGCGACGCGACGGGCCGCTAAGGTGCCGCGACGGGGCCGCTAAGAAGGGCGCGACCCTAGGCGCGCTTCGGGCAGGGGCAAGACGCGCCTAGGGTTTGTTATTTGTACCATTTCTGACTTAGTCATTTCATTCCTCTTCTCATCGTTTCACACCATCCGCCCCCCCTGACCCCCCCTGCTGAGAAAGTATGAATGAGAATGAATGAACTATGAATGAACTGGATACAAGTACTAACCCTAATTGGGTTGTACCCCCTATGGGATACCCCACTATAGCCTACACAAAAGCATAAGCTATAATGTTCTGACACCTGCTCCCCGCCAGCCCCGCCCTGCTCTCCGCCAGATCCCCCCCTGCTCTCCGCCGGATCCCCCCTGCTCCCCGCCAGATGCCCCCTGCTCCCCGCCGGAACCCCCCTGCTCTCCGCCAGCCCCCCCTTGCTCTCCGCCAGGTCCCCCCTACTCTCCGCCAGGTCCCCCATGCTCTCCGCCAGGTCCTCCCTACTCTCCGCCAGGTCCCCCCTGCTCTCCGCCAGGTCCTCCCTGCTCTCCGCCAGGTCCACCCTGCTGGTTACCAGTTTTCCCTCCCTTTCCCCCCTTGCCTCCTTCCCCTCCCTTTCCTCCCTTTCGTCCCTTTCCACCCTTTCCGCCCTTCCCACCCTTCCCTCCCTTTCCACCCTTCCCTCCCTTTCCGCCATTCCCGCCGTTTCCTCTGGCGCCGATCGGTGGCGGGTCATCCTCGCCTCCTCCAACGTCGCCGCCACTGGCGGTATTTCCGCCACTGGCGGTATCCCCATTGTCGCCACCAGGGGGGCCCTCAGGACCGCCCTGATCGCCGCCAGCGTCTCCGCCAGGTTCTCCGCCTCCCCCAATGTCGCCGCCACTGCCGGTATCTTTGCCATTGCTGGTATCTCCGTCGATATCTCCACCAGTGTCTCCGGGATTGGCAAGTAGAGTAATGGTTGTCGAACCCGGGAAACTCATGAGCGAGAGGGCCTTGAGGGCGAGGCTGCGACGTGAAGGTAAGGCCCTTCCAAACGCTGCGCGAAAAGGAGAGCATGCGAGATCATTAAAGTGATATGTTGAAATCGAAGACATTCAGAGTATCTAAAAACATAGAAAGAAGAACGCAAAAGGAAAGGCGGTGCGAGGAAACGGAAGTGGCATTCGGGGGAAGGAAAGTGATGTGTTGGTGAAAAAGCGGTGATACGAGGTGCGGGATCTTACCAGGCACGAGGGAGGCGGACACTACGAAAAGCGCGAGAAGAAGCAGACGTACAGACATGCCTCGCATCGTGTACCCCATTCTGGCAACGGAATTTCGACGCTTGTCGAAGTGGCACGAAGCAACAGAAAGTGTGGATAAAGTGAGGCGAAGTACTAGAGCGAATTGAAATGACTAGGGATTTGCTGAAGAAGGGCTCTTCTTGTTTGAGTTGAGATGTCAACGATGGGAGGGACGAGTGGTTTTATATGAAGAGGGTGATGAGAATGCAGCTTGCACAGCAACATGGTACACATGAATTTGTTGGAACACAGAGTTGGCGGGAAGTGTGTTTTCGCTCCAGGTGAACGCCGCGAGTTTCGCTGTTCCGTGTAGGCAGTTGCGATAGTGGCGTGGCGAGCATTGCGACGCTGGTTACTTGGTGGTGAATTCAAATCCCTCACAGTTTTCCAACATGGGAGGGTAAAGTGGATTGCGACACGACTCACCACGGCGCACAACATGGATGCCGATGGTCACGGCAGGCTGCAAGGTCAGATCGCAGGGGAAACGCCATTGGTCGCGCTCGTTGAAACTTGTTGACCCGATCGCAGCTGGGATGGGAGTTGTTTCATTAGAAAATGCGCAAGAAGCGGCAAGTGCCACGGCAGACCACAACAGGCAGCTCCACTGAAGTGAACATCATGCCAACATTCTTGCATTCGTCTACACTTACAGAATTGTTTTGACTAGATATGGTTTACTTTTTGGAATGGAGAACAACCACAGATTCTTAGGGGTAGACATTCGATTCAACACTACAATGTGATTTCACCTCAGCCGTATGTGGAAGCAAGGAACTGCAAAAATGGTCAAAAGGAAAGCTAAGCCATATACATACGTAGCAATACTTACAAATTATAATTTTAAAGAATGTAACACTTTTTCAAATTTCATATTATGAAATCAAGGATGTGGCCAACGCAGCAAAGGTAGCGGCTTGACGCTACTCACCCCTCTTTTGCGTACAAAAGAGGAACGTGATTTCAGTAGCTCCACCCACGTTCTTCATTTCCAATTTCTAGTTTTACTTTCCTAGCTCTCGTTCATCCTGGCGAAGACACAGTCCCTCCCGCAGTTCAAGTCCCCGTCAACTCTTCTTACCGACATTCTTCAACACAACCTCGCGAGTATGGCTCCCACCAACACTACACTTAATCGAGAGGTGGAAGAGACGACTACCCCGGGCAACACTTCGGAGCACGCGAACGCACTCGGGGCACCCGACCGCCGCGGATACGCCCTGCTGAGGACAATTTCGGCGAGGGCCCCTCAGGCGTCGAAATTCTGCTCGGGAGCAACTCCCGAGCCCCCTCTGAACAAGCACGCACAACTGTTGAAATCTCTTGGCAAGAATCAGAAACAGGAAAGAGGAGTTTCACTAGCATGCAGTTGAGTACATATAGCAAACCCTAATTCGGACTGTACTCGCTATAGAGTACCCCACTGCATGCTACACAAACATCATATTCTGACACACCCCCATAGACAAAGTGGGGTACAATCAACGGAACAAGCAGGCAGTGCAGTAGTTCACAATTATAAGCAAAGCTAGAGGCTATCACAGAGAGCAAGTGAGGAGGAGGAGAAACTGTGGGGGTGAGAAGATGCGAGACGACGGCTGAAGCTGCAGATACACAGGCAACAGGAGTGCGCAGACCAGGCTAAACCCGGACTACATGGCGACAGGCGCAACTGGCTCTCTGTGCTCCCACGAGTGCTCACACTGTGGCTACCGGGCGCAGAGCCCCGGACTACTCAGGCCACAGGGGGTCGTGGCTCTCTGGATTTCAGGTGCTGCGGACGACAAGACGACGGCCGCTGGTCAACCTCCCCCAACTGTCCCACACTCCTTTCGCACACTCCCTGCTGAACCACTCCGACGGCTCCAACACATCCACCCCCCTCAGCCGCAGCTGCAGCAGTGGGAGACGGAGGAGGAGGAGGAGGAGCAGGGGACGGCTCACACACACGGCACCCCCATACTCTCCACCCCCAAACCCTAACACAGGAGCGTGGGCAGCAGCGGGGGTGGGGCGCAGTCAGAAGCTCGAGGGACGGCGTGCGGCAAGGGGGGAGACGGTACGGGCCGCTCACGGGCCTGGCGCAGGCCGGACGAACCGCGCGCGGGCTGCCTGAGCCGCGCGCGGGCATGGCGCAGCCCGTACGGGCCGCGCACGGGCCTGGCGCTGCCCGTACGGGTCGCGCGCGGGCCTGGCGCAGCCCGTACGGGCCGCGCGCGGGCTTGGCGCAGGTCGCACGGGCCGCGTCGGGCGACGGGGGGCGACGCGCGGGTAACCGGGTCAGGAAACCACCGCCGCGCTCCCGGGGCGCGCGGCGGGCAGGGCAGAAAACTGCCGCGCGCCCTGAGCGCGCAGCCGGAAGAAAAAACGCTGCGCACTCCGAGCGCACGGCAGGAAGACAACGGCGCGCGCCCGGGGCGCACTATAGGCAGTAGAGCAGCGGAAGCATCGGGTGGGGCCCACCAACAGGATCGACCCAGGAGGGTTGACCTGCTCTGATAGCATGTTTAAATCACTAGGCAAGAATAAGAATCAGGAAAGAGGAGTTTCACTAGCATGCAGTTGAGTACATATAGCAAACCCTAATTCGGGATGTACTCGCTATAGAGTACTGTCAGAATGTTATCTAGCCTGACGTGGGGTGCTCTATAGCGGGTGCAACCCAGCTAGGGTTTGCTATATGTATCCCCATTGCTGCTAGTGAAACTCCTCTTTTGCCTAACTTTCTCTTGCCTAGCTAGGGCTTACCTAGCTAGTGCTCCTCGTTATGCCTACTATTCTCACATGCTATCAGAGCAGTAATGCTCCTGGCCTGTGGGCCCACCTGCTTCCGCTGCCCTACTCTGTGTCTCGCGCCCCGGAGCGCGCGACCTTCAAATTTTCATCCCGCCGCGCGCTCAGGGCGCGCGGCGGTTTTCTGCCCGTCGTGTGCCCCGAGGCACGCGGCGGTTTCCTGCCGTGGGGGAGCCCATGCGCGCCCCGCCCGTACGTTGCGACGCCCTGAGGAGCCTGCGCGCGCCCCGCCTGTTCGTCGCGTCGCCCTGGGGAGCCCGCGCGCGCCCTGCTTGTTCGTCGCGGCGCTCTGGGGAGCCCGCACGTGCCCCGCCTGTTCGTCGCGGCGCCCTGGGGAGCCCGCGCGCGCCTTGCTCGTACGTCGCGGCGCCCTGTGGAGCCCGCGCGCGCCCCGCTCGTTCGTCGCGGTGCCCTGGGGAGCCCGCGCGCGCCCCGCCAGTCCGTCGCGGCGCCCTAGGGAGCCGCGCGCGTGCCCCTCTTCCCGTCCGTCGCGGCGCCCTGGGGCGCCGCGCGCGCCGCCCTCAACCCCCCCGACCTGCCCATCCGTTTTGGCGCCCTGGGGGTAGTGCGCCGTCACCCCTCACCGTCCCCCGCGCTCCTGCCCCTCTCCCACCCGTTTTAGGGTTTGGGGGTGAGGAGTGTGGGGGTGGCGGTTGTGGGGGTGTCAGTTGTGTGCGCCGTCCCCTTCTCCGCCTCCTCCTTCGTCTCCCACTGCTGCAGCTATCGCTGAGGGGGGTGGATGTGTGGGAGCCTGGGGCTTAGAATTTAAGGGGGGTGCCGTGGGAGTGGAGCTAGGGTTTGAGCAGGGGGTGTGTGTCGAGGGTGTGGGGCAGTTGGAGAAGGTTGTGTGAAGGTAGCAGTCGTGTCGCCTGCAGCGCATGTAGTCCGTCGCCCTTGCTTCGGTATCCAATGAGCTTGTTGCACCAGTCGCCAGTGGGTCCGTTGCTCCTGCCGCTCGTCTATAGCCGCGGAGCTAGTCACTCCAGTAGTCCGTCGCCCTTGCTTCGGTAGCCACTGTGTCAGCCGCTCCTGTGCCTGTGCCTCTGCAGCTTCAGTCGCTGCCTCCCATCTTCTCTCCCTCCACAGTTCCTCCTCCTCCTCACTTGCCCGCTGTGATTAACTCTAGCTTTGCTTACTATTGTGAACTCCTGCTCTATGCCTGCTTGCTCATTGTGCTGATTACACCCCACTTTGGCTACGGGGGTGTGTCAGAATGTTATCTAGCCTGTAGTGGGGTGCTCTATAGCGAGTACAACCCAGCTAGGGTTTGCTATATGTATCCCCATTGCTGCTAGTGAAACTCCTCTTTTGCCTAACTTTCTCTTGCCTAGCTAGGGCTTACCTAGCTAGTGCTCCTCGTTATGCCTACTATTCTCACAAGTACCCCACTACAGGCTACACAAACATCATATTCTGACAGCAACTATGAGTAAGCTTACATATGAATCTTTGTCGAGTATGCTTACTCTGATTGTATTGTTTAACACCGTGTTGCTTGGATGTCCCATGCGTGCGTGCCAGATATCTTCGGAGGCGCGGTGACAGGGTGAAAGTTGATATGTGTCGGAGTTGGAGTAGAAGCTGGCGATGAAGTCGGCACTTCTATGGACTTCTCGTGGAGTTGGATGTAGCTGCTGCGCGGGTGTCGGTGGTGAATCGTCGATGAGGACCAGTGTCGTTAAAGGACCAGCGATTGGTGTCGATGTTGCTGCTACCGAATGTTGGATTGTTACTAATGCTCGTGTTCGTTCTGCTTCATGGATGGTGTGTGAATACCAGAATCCTTCGGGGCTGAAGTCAGGGTCGAGATCCGGCGGGTGCGTTCAGGAGGTGAAGGTGACAATCCCGTCGCTCTCGGCGGTGCTGAGGTCTGGAACACAATCGAGGACGAAGACGTTGTTCTTCAGCACTGCTTTACCGATGTAGAGGCCGCCTCTCCCGTGGTACAGCTTGAATTCTTGTGTCATGCTGTCTGCTTCGAGGTGGATTCCCTTCGCCATCAGCTGGCTCACACTCAGTAAGTTGTAGCCGAGTCCCTCTGCAATTAGAACTTTTGACATTTGTAGTATCACATTGGTTTCCCTTGTCTGAAGTTGTACGACACCTTGTCTCCGTGTGTGCAGGTTCTGATTGTTGGCGACGGTGATGACGACCTCTCGTTGAAGTTGATATTCTCGTTGAACAAAGCGACCAGAGGAGCACATGTGTTGCCCACAGCAACTGTCTAAGAACCAAGTGTCCTTTCCGCACGGCTCGCTTTGAGCGATGGCTGCGTACGTCGGGCTCGGTTGAAATGACTCGCGACGAGGAGTGCTGTTGTCAAGTTGCTCTTCCGGTGAGTAGTGTGGTGGTGACTCGGTGATGCAGGAGTCAGTTAGCTTTGCCATGCAGCTGACGATATTTCGTCCTCCTTGTGCAGATTGTGTTGACGATGTCGTTGGGGGCTGCAGTTGACTCGTGGGGTGCGCTCGTGTGGACGTCACTTGACTGCTTGAAGGACGGAGTTGGCGTTGCGGCGACGCTGACTGCTGTCGATTCGGGCAGTGTGTACGAGGGTGCCCTGTAGTCTTGCATAGATGACAAAACGGAGGTACGATTTTTGTTTGATGCCGATTGTTGTTGTTGTTGTAGCGCCGTTGAGTATGAAACGCAAATTCGGGTACTCATGTCTTCTTCTTGTATCGTTCTTCTTGCAGGTCCATGTCTTGCTGTTCGGCGTGAATTTCGGCGCAAAGTGCTTCTTCGGAGATCTTTCCGTGAGCTCGGAGTATGGCGCGAGTGGAGCGTCAGTGAGGACCAAGGCCGCCGTGTCAAACATTTAGGCCATAGTCTTTCTAGGCTGTAGTGGGGTAGACAGTATGGGGTACAGTTTTCTAGGGTTGCATATTTGTACCCAACCCATTTTCCAAGTCCACCATTCCCCATTCTTTCACATGGTATAGAGCAGGTTCCCTAGTGGGAACGTTTCCTAGGGCCTACTACGGAAAATCGTTTTTTTTTTTTTTTCCTTGCCCGGACCGCGCTTCGCCCCTGCCCTAGTCGCGCCCTGTGTGCTGCCCTCCCGTCGCGTCCCCTGCCCTTAGCGGCCCGTGCCCTCTTAAGGCCCCGTCGCGGCCCCTCTCACGGCCCTTCGCGGCCCCTTTGCGGCTCCCTCGCGGCCCCTCCGCGGCCCTTCGCGGCCCCTCTCACGGCCCGGCCCCTCGCGGCCCCTTCGCAGCCCCTCGCGGCCCCTTCTTGGCCCCGTCGCCGCACTTCACGGCCTCTTGCGGCCCCTTTTCGGCCCCGTCGCCGCCCTTTGCGGCCCCTTCACGGCCCTTTGTGGCCCCCTCTCGGCCCCTTCGCAGTCCCTCGCGGCCCCTTCTCGGCCCCGTCGCCGCCCTTCGCGGCCCCTTCACGGCCCTTCGTGGCCCCTTCTCGGCCTCTTCGCCGCCCTTAGCGGCCTTTGCGGCTCGTCGCGGCCCCTTCACGGCCCCTCCCCGGCTCTTCACGGCCCTACCGCAGCCGCCGCCGCTGCCGCCGCCATTAGCAGCAGCAGCCCCCGCCGCTGCCATAACAGCCGCCGCCGCCGCTGCTGGGGCCGCAGCCGCCGCCGCCGATAGCAGCAGCCGCCGTCGCCGTCCCGGCCCTGCCCTGCAGCTGGGGCGCGGCACTCCTCTGCCATCCTGTTGCAGCCCTGTCCCTGCTGGCGCGCCTCGACAATGCCCCACCACTTGCGGACCTCTACCCACCCGCCCTAGTAAGAGCACCGCCGAGCCGCGCCTCTGCTACTGAGCTGCTCCTAGCCTGCTGTTACTGCTGCTAGCCTGCTGCCACTGCTATTCGATCTCACGTCTAGCACCTCTGCTGCCCCTGCTACCGATTCTGATAGTACTGTTCTCTCACAGTGGGCCACACGCGATGCTGTTGCCCGTCTTGCTGTGCGTAGTCATCTGCCGTCCTCTGAGCGCCCGCACTTTAGTCAGTACAAGAGTGCTAAGACCCTGTACGACGCTGTAGTTGCACGCTACTCTTCCCTTGCCACTGCTGCCCTTAGTCGCCTCATGCTGCCTTACCTGTTCCCTGACCTTGCCGCCTTTCTCACAGTCGCTGACCTCATTACGCACCTCCGCACTAGTGACACCCGCTACCGCGCTGCACTTCCTGCTGAGTTCTGCGCCAAGAACCCTCCCCCCATGTACATCACCCTCTACTACCTAGTCACCCGGCTCCCTGACTCCCTTCGCTCGGTCAGGGACCACTTCCTCTCTGTTTGCCCCACCACACTCACCGTTGACCTCCTCGAGGAGCGCCTCCTGGCAGCTGAGAAGAGTATAGTCGCTGTAGGAGCCTCTCGTGGTGATCCTCGTACCCCCTTCTTTGAGGGGTGCTCCCCCTCCCCCCTTTTGCCCTCTGCTGCCTTTGCTGCTGCGGTCGAGCTCGTTGGCACCGAGTTGGACGGCGCTACGTCTGCCCCTAGCGGGAGACGCCGCACAGGCAAGGGCAAGGGGGGCAGGGGCGCTGGAGGAGCTGGCGGGGGCGGTGGAGGTGGCGGGTGGAGGCGGCAGAGGGGGTGGGGGTGGCGGTGGGAGTGGTGGCGGGGCTGGGGGCGTCGGTGGCGGTGGTGGAGGCGGAGGCAGCGTCGGCGGTGGCGGTGGGAGCGGAGGAGGCGGCGGTGGTGGCGGTGGCAGAGGTGGCAGCGGCAGCGGTGGAGCAGGTCGGGGTGGCTCTGCGCAGCGGGGCGGCTTCGGTGGTGGTCAGCGCCAGCAGCAGCAGCGCACTCGTGAGACCCCGCCCCCCCAGCAGCTTCGTGAGTGGTACGCTGCGCGTTAGCGGGGTGGGGGTGCTGGTCCCTGTGCCTACGTCCTGCATACCGGCGACTAAGCATGATCATTAGGCCCGACCCAACCCGACCCGACCCGACTTGGGCGGGCCAGCCGGGTTCCGGGTCGGGTCGGGTCGGGTCGGAACTTAAAAAAATCCTGGCCCGACCCGGGTATCGGGTGCCGGGTCAGGCGTGACCCGCCCCCGGGTCGGGTCGGGTAGGGGCCGGGTCGGGTCGGGTCGGGTCGGGTTGGGTCAGGCCAGGACCCCATATGCAGGGTAAGAGGCTCTCCTTACTACTGTGCAGTGTTGCACTGATTGAATATTTGTGTAATATTATTATATGAACGTCCTCCATTTTGTAACTAGACTATGGGGGGTCGCGTCACTATCGATGCGGGCCTGGTAGGCGCGCAGGGGACGATTAGAACGCGGGACCAGAGTTTAGTCGCTTGTGAGAGCTAAGAATAACTATTTCTATAGAATCGAATATCTCTGCCTGGTCGCGCTAGGTTAAAAAGACCCTTACGCCAACATGGAAACACTAGTAATAGTGTTCCTTAACATGGGCGCGGGTTTAGAGAGTAGTAGAGCTAGAGAACGATTGCTTGCTAGCTGCCTAGGTATTGCAGATCGAAGTCAATGTCGAGGGAACAAACGAACCCTAGACATTGACTTCGCGATCTGCTGTAGTGCAAATTGTCGAGGGAGGAAAAGTCGGGTCGGGCCAAATACTCGACCCGACTTAGGGCGCGGTACCCGAAACCGGGTCGGGTACGACTTCGGGTCTAAATCTGACCCGACCCGACCCGACCCGGTTTCGGGTGTCAGGTCGACCCGACCCAACCGGGTAAACACGACCTGACCCGGCCGGGCCAGCGCTTTAAAATGCCTGACCCGACCCGGGTCAAAACCCGGATCAGGTCGACCTGACCCGCCGGGGCAGGACGATCATGCCTACCGGCGACCGCACTGGTGAGCCGTGCGGTGGCCCGAACACCACCCAGCGCTGCTTCGGCCGCCTGACGGACGCTTAGCGTCTCCAGTTCCCTGACGCCACTGAGATCCCTCGCTGGGGCGAGCTGCTTAGGTCGGGGGTTGCTATCTTTGATCTTGATTATGATCCTATTCTTGCTGCCATGTATGTTGTGTCTACTAGTGATGAGGGTGACTGTTACCTGTGTGTTCCGCCTGACCCGGGCATTGAGGCTGCTGCTCTAGGTGCTGGTGAGGCTGCTGCTCTAGGTGCTAGTGCGTCTGCTGCCCCAGGTGCTGGTGAGTCTGCTCCCTTAGGTACCACGTCGGCTCACTGTATGTGTGCTTGGACAGGCCGACACTTGGCCACGTTCACCCGTCAGCCGGGGTCGAGCCTGTACACACTGACTACTGAGTCTCCTCCGGTTGCTGAGTCTGGTCAGGTAGCTGCGTCAGGTGAGGTGTTTGCTGTAGTGTCCAGGTCTTGTCCTGAGTCTGCCCCCTGCTCGTGTCGTCTCCTGTCTCACCAGACTCTCCTCTGGCACCACCGCCTTGGTCACCCCTCCCTTCCTCGTCTCTGAGGCATGGCCTCCTGTGTCCTTGTCTCTGGTCTCCCCCGGTCCCTCCCTCCTCTTCCTCCGGGGCCTGCCCCTACCTGCGTTCCCTGAGTCGAGGGGCGGCAGCGCGCCGCTCCTCAGTCCTCCTAGTTTCCTCAAACAGGGGCTCCGCTGCACACACTTCACCTGGACATGTGGGGCCCAGCCCGCGTCCATGGACAGGGTCACGAGCGTTCCTGCTGGTGGTTGACGACTACTCGCATTACACCACAGTCTTCCCCTTGCGTAGCAAGGGTGAGGTCACTGAGGTGTTGATTGACTGGATCCGCACAACTCGTCTCCAGCTCAGAGAGAGTTTTGGCTCGGACTTTCCTGTTCTGCGTCTGCCCTCCGACAGAGGCAGAGAGTTTTCCTCTGACCTTCTGCGAGCCTTCTATCGTGCACGAGGCATCCGCCAGACGTTCACGCTTCCGACCTCTCCACACCAAAATGGGATTGCTGAGCGCCGCATTGGCATGGTCATGGACGTCGCTCGTACGTCCATGATCCATGCGGCTGCTCCCTATTTTTTGTGGCCGTTCGCAGTTCAGTACGCGGCGCATCAGATCAACCTTCAGCCCCGGGTCTCCTTGCTGGAGACCTCCCCTACTGTGCGGTGGACGGGTCAGGTTGGCGATCCGTCTGCGTTTCTTATCTGGGGATCTCGGGCGTTTGTCCGCGACTTGTCTGCGGACAAGCTGTCCCCCCGTGCCGTCCCCTGCGTCTTCCTTGGCTTCCCCCTTGCCGCGCCTTGTTGGCACTTTTACCACCCCACCTCGCGTCGTGTTCTGTCCTCCCAGGACGTCATGTTTGACGAGTCGGTTCCTTACTACCGTATCTTCCCCTACCGCACTGCATCCCTCCCCTCGCCACCACTCTTCCTCGCGCCAGGCCCCCCTCGGTAGACCCCCTTCCCCCTCAGGGTCCTGCCCCCTCAGGTGTGTCCCAGGTAGACGCAGTCGAGCCTGTCGAGGTAGCTGTTGACTTTGGTGCTACTAGGGGTGCTGAGCCTGCGGGTGCGGGGTCTGGGGGTGCTGAGCGTGGGGGTGCTGAGTCTGGGGGTGCTGAGCCTTGGGGTGGTGAGCCTGGGGTTGCGGAGCCTGGGGGTGTTCAGAGTGGGGGTGTAGAGCCTGGGGGTGCTGAGACTTGGGGTGCAGAGCCTGAGGGTGCTGGGCCTGCTCGCGTAGAGTCTGGCGGTACTGGGTCTGGAGGTCCTTCGGGTGCTTCGTCACGGCGGGAGCTACCCTCTCCACAGGAGCTGCACGAGTGGTTTGCTCGGCGCTGGAGCCGTGATGCTAGAGCTGGAGGTGTTGCTGGAGTTGGAGGTTCTACTGTTGCTAAGGGTGCTGGTGCCACGGGTCCCGGAGGTGCTCGTACTGGAGGTATTGGAGCTGCTGGGCCTGGCGGTGCTCCTTGTGCTGGAGCTGCTGGCGGTGCTGGAGCTAGCGGTGCTGCTGGAGTAGGTGCTGCTGGAGGTACTGGAGCTGGAGCTGCTGCGTCTTCTGGTGGTCCGGCGGGAGCTGGAGCTGCTAGGGGTGTTGGCACTGGAGGTGCTGCTAGAGCTGGTGCTTCTGAGGGTGCTGGCGTTGGCGCTGCTGGAGCTGGGGGTGCTACTGGCGCTGGTGCTGCCGTTGGGGATGCTGATGTTGTACATGCTGGTTCTGGGGGCGCTGCACGGCCGCGGCCGTACTTCGTTCCGCTCCTTGAGCAGGTTCTTGGTCTCCCGCCTCATGCTCGTTCTGCTCCTTCCTTAGCGTGTCCGCCGCCTGTCCAGTCCGAGTCACAATTACAGCCTGCCTCCCCACTGCCTGCTCCTTCTCCTGACACTGAGCCTATTGGAGGTCTTGCTAAGTGTCGTGAGCCTCCGTCTCGTCCTGCGTTGCCTGTTCGTGCTGCTCGCACTAGTCGTCGTGTTCCGCGTCAGCGTCCTCCTCCTCTCCCTGGCACACACCAGATGGCACTGCGTCCTTCCACTGCTCCACTTCGTGTCCCTTTGCCGTCTCCACGAGAGTCCTCTCTTCCTGCTCTTGCTAACCCGGAGTCTGACTCTCTACATGTTGCCACTCCTACTGTCACGCGTCTTCTGGGTAGTGTTGTCTCTGACCCTTCCTTTGAGTCCACTGCTACGTCTGCGCTAGTTGCTGAGCTTGTTGACTTCGCTGCTCGCTGTCCTCTAGACTACGCTGCTAGTCTTGTTGATGAGTCTGAGTCTGTCTGTCCTCCGTCCGTCGGGGGTGAGTGTGCTCTTAGCACGGACGTCCTTGAGGACAGGCAGGCGAAGTTCTAGTGTTTTGCTGGTGCTTTACCTCATCTCATGTCCATGCTGATTGCCCCTGAGGGAGACCCGGATGCACCAGACATCCCGACTCCGCGCTCTTACGAAGAGGCGATAAAGGGTCCCTACTCCTCTCAGTGGAAGTCAGCCATGGACGCAGAGATGGCTTCCTGGAAGTCCACAGGCACCTACGTCGACGAGGTTACCCCACATGGGGCGAACATCGTCAGTGGCATGTGGATTTTCAGGGTGAAGCGACCGCCGGGTTCTCCGCCTATCTTCAAGGCGCGTTACGTGGCTCGAGGCTTCGGTGAGCGTCAAGGAGTTGATTACCTTCATACCTTCTCTCCCACCCCGAAGATGACCACTCTTCGGGTGCTGCTGCACATTGCCGCTCAGCGCGACTACGAGCTTCACTCTCTTGACTTCAGCACAACTTTCTTGCAGGGCAGCCTGCACGAGGAGATGTGGCTGTGCCGCCCACCTAGCTTCACCGGGTCGTTTCCTCCTGGTACCCAGTGGAGCCTCCGACGGCCAGTCTACGGTCTCTGCCAGGCGCCCCGTGAGTGGCACGACACACTGAGGACTACACTTGCGGCTCTTGGGTTTGCTCCTTCTACTGCCGACCCGTCGCTGTTTCTACGCACGGACACCTCTTTGCCGCCGTTCTACATCATCGTGTACGTCGACGACTTGGTCTTTGCCATGTCTGACACTGCTGGACTCGCGCACGTGAAGTCCGAGCTGCAGAAGAGACACACGTGCACAGACCTGGGTGAACTGCGCAGCTACCTTGGCTTGCAGATCATTCGGGACAGAGCACAGCGCACCATTACCCTGACTCAGTCACACATGGTGCAGCATGTCCTTCAGCGCTTCGGCTTCACGTACTCCTCGCCTCAGGCCACTCCTCTGTCTACTCGCCACTCGCTCTCAGCTCTGCCTTCGGATGAGTCCGAAGAGCCGAGTGGCCCGTACCCAGAGCTTGTTGGCTGCCTCATGTACCTGATGACCTACACTCGACCTGACCTTGCATACCCTCTTAGCATCTTGGCATGCTATGTTGCTCCTGGGAGACACAGACCTGAGCACATGGCTGCAGCGAAGAGGGTGTTGCGCTACTTGTGCAGTACGTCGGGCATGGGGCTCGTGCTTGGAGGGCGGCGTCCAGTGGTCCTCACTGGTCACGTAGACACTTCTTGGGCTGACGACCAGGCTACGCAGCGGTCGTCATAGGGTTTCACCTTCAGCCTTGGTTCCGGCTCTGTTTCGTGGCGGTCTACCCGCTCGTCTTCTGTTCTCGGCTCCAGCTGTGAGGCTGAGATCTACGCAGGGGCCATGGCTGCGCAGGAGTTACGCTGTTTCACCTACCTGCTGACTGACCTAGGAGGCCGCCTCGTTCTTCTCCAGTTCTGTACGTAGACAACAAGGCCATGCTGGCCTTGTGTCGGGAGCACAGACTGGAGCACAGAACGAAGCACATTGCTCTTCGCTACTTCCTTGCTCGTGAGCTTCAGCAGCGTGGTCAGCTGCGCCTTGCTTACGTGGCCTCTAGGGCCAACTGCTGATATCTTTACCAAGGCACTTCTGCCTTGTGATCATTAGCGTTTTTGTACGATGCTAGGTCTTGTGCCTACTTGGCCTCACTTGGTCACTTCTTGACCTTGCTTGTACTGTGATCTGTCTATACCTGCACTTGCTTGTTTACCTTTATATATAATCCTGCATGTGAACTGGCCTTGTGGCCTTGAACTTGTGCTCGGAATGTGTGGTGACGTTGTGATCCACCCTGAGCTTGCCTTGCTTGACTGGTCTTATGACCCCTTGTTCTCCCCCACTTTGCCTATGGGGGTGTTTCAAACATTTAGGTCATACTCCTTCTAGGCTGTAGTGGGGTAGACAGTATGGGGTACAGTTTTCTAGGGTTGCATATTTGTACCCAACCCATTTTCCTAGTCCACGATTCCTCATTCTTTCACACGCCGATGACAACTGTGACGAAGGCGTCTTCCGATATTGACCCTCCGCATCGAAGAAGCTTGTCATGCAATTCGCCGCAGCGACTGATATACGCCATTCCTTTTTCGCCCGGTTTCATCTCGACTGTTTTCAGTTGCACTATTAACCGACTTTGGTTGACGCTGCTTGATACATGTTCTTCAGGTGATTGTATGCGAGCTCGGCGGAGTTGCCGTATCCCTGGTAAGACCGAATGTTCTGCTGCTGAGTCGGTGTGATGTTCCTCAGTAGTATTGTGAACGCCATCATTGATTGGTATGTATACTGCTGCTTGTTGTATTGTGTCCCGTGTGTTGGATATGGCAGGGACCCGTCGAAGAAGCCAAGAATATGTGCGCCTTCCATCATCAGTTTGAATTCGAATGACCAGGTAAAGAAGTCCTTCCTGTCGAACGGTCTTGACGTTTGTAATTTTAAGACGTGCGCAAATTGCGATTCTACTTGAAGTGCGTCCAGTATCTTCTCTTGTTCATGTGCAGGATACTGGCGCGGCATGAAGCTGACTAAACCACGCTGAGGTTTGTACGGGGCAAAGGTAGGCTCTTGTTGCTGGTTTCCTCGCGCGTAGGATGAACCGTCGAGACTTATTGGTGTAACGTTGTTGTTGTTGCTGTTGTTTGACTGCGCAGGTGCCCCTTGCTGGTGTTGCTCGTAGAAGGACATGAAGGAGAAGAATTTCTCCATCATGCTTGGATTGAAGCCCGCGGCTTGGTTTGCGGGGGTTTCGGTAGACCCAGCTGCCGGTCTTGTTGTTGTGCCCTCCTCTGTCTGTAGGCCAGAGGCAGGAGGTGGAGTAGGAGTGGTACCAAGGGAGTCATTGGAGGAGCTTCTCTCCTTCTGAATGGCCATGTCTTCTGATGTTGTAGGTATTTTGATTGTTGAATTAATCTTGACTGCTCTCATACCATGTTGGGCTGAGAAAAGCCCTGAGGATCATTGCAGGACTTAATTCAAGATAGGAATGATGTACTAGCGGAAGCGTTAATGATAACTCTTGTGAACCACCTTCCGTTGGTATGTGAGGGCAAAGTGGATTGATTAAAACAAAGAGATACAAGGTTTTTATATAAGAGTACAAGGAATATGAAGAGATACGGTTAATAACTGTTTTACTGCTGCTGTTGCGGTTCGATACAGTGACGAATCGGGCAACTGCTCAATTACGAGTCAGTTGTGTGTCCTTGCTGTCGCGCTGTATTTGTCAGGTCAAGGGTCGCTGACCTTTGACTTTCGCGTAACCTCCAGCTGTTGTTCAACCTCCGAGGGTTGACTCGCCGATGCTTCTCTGCACCTTGCTTCGTTTGCAGCTTAGTGTTTCGACACGACAGAGGCGCCTTAAATTACTTGTTCCCAACACATCCGACTACATTTCAACACATGAAAAAATGAAAATCAGAAGGAAGTCACCGCCCCTCGCACCAACAAGGTGGCTCGTATCAACGAGACCATTGCCGCACCACTTCCCGCGCCCGCACCTGTGCTGATCGCCGCTCAAGACGACAGCGACGACTCAGAGAACGAAGATGGTGAGCCCCCAACAACATTACCCGCCGTCGTATTATTGCACCCGCACCCTCTCTCCCACCCCTCCACCCCACACCCGCCTCCACCACCTTCATGCGCAAAGGTGTGCGCGATCAGGCGGAGGTCTTTTCTGCCATCCAGGCGCACCTGAAGCACATCAATTTCAAGCTCCACCACGGTGACATAGAAAGCGCCTTCATCAACGGCGCGGAAATCGAGATGCTCATCCACAAGCGCTTCAAAGTCCTCTTGATGGCGGACGAGGCGGGGTTCGAAGCGGCCGATCGTTTTCAGCTGTACCAGTCCAAGAGCGTTTTGACCTCACGCTCGTACAAGCTCGCGGTTGCCGACATGGCGGCTCTCAAACGTGCACGGGCCGGCTACACTCGCGGCAACCGCATGCCCACCCGAGATGGCAAAACGGAAGGCAAGGGTATGCTGCCCGCAAGCTGCCACGAACCCCGCTTCAAAGGGATGTGCTTTTGCTGCGGCCAGCCCGGCCATATGGCAAATGCTTGCCCCATGGGAGGGCGAGGCGCTCAAGGCCCCTCACCCGTAGTGTGAGGAGGCACACGGGGAGGCGCCCCTTGCCACTATGCCGAGGGGCGTAGGTGGGAGCACCGGGGGTGCGTAGCTGGTAGCTAGCATGAGCTAGGGGCTGAAGGCCATAGAAATTCCTAGCCAGAAGGGCGGATATGGGGGTAGTACGTTCTATGTACCCATGTGTGGAGGCAAGTAATAAAAAATATATTCTGATTATAAAAAAAAAAAAAAAAAAAAAGGGAGAGCAAGAAAGCTGAACCAAGGCAGCCACCTTGCAGCAAGAACAGCCCTATGACAAAGAAGGAAAGAGTAAGGAGGACGGAGGAGGAAACTGAGATGGGAAAGAAATCAGGAGAGTAAGGGTGGGGGGGGAGAGAGAGAGAGATATATATATATATATATATATAGAGAGAGAGAGAGAGAGAGAGAGAGAGAGAGAGAGAGAGAGAGAGAGAGAGAGAGAGAGAGAGAGAGAGAGAGAGAGAGAGAGAGAGGGAGAGAGATGAGGGAGATAGAGAGAGAAGAGAGGAAGAGAGGGAAAGAGAGAGAGAGAGCGAGAGAAAGAGAGAGAGAGAGAGAGAGAGAGAGAGAGAGAGAGAGAGAGGGAGGGAGAGAGAGAGAGAGAGATGGTTTAGGACTAGTCCTTAGCCGTTTTCCCAGCCCTCTCTAGTGTAGGATCCAGTCCTTAGCCGTTTTTCAGCCTAGTACCCTAGTATATAGTCCCTAGATGCTCCCTTCTGAGCTCATTCTTCACTGGTGAGTTCAGTTTACTCTCCAAAACCGGCGGCTCGCGCCGCGGCCTTCGGCCGCGCGTGAGGGGAGGCAAGGAACAAGGACGGCTGGGACTTTAGCAGCAAGTGATACAACATGCAGGGGTAGCTTCCTACAACAACTGCACCACCCCCGGGCGTGCCTACACCACCATGGGGAAGCCCAAGGCCAGGCCTGCCTCACAAGGGGCCGGCAAGGGGAAGCAATCCCCTACTCAACCAGGACCCAGCAAAGCCGCCCGTCCAACCAGCGTAGGATGGATGCGGCAGCGGCTACAAGGTCGAGCGGGTCCTCCTGGGCAGACTCGGCAAGCCGCACCAAAGCACCAGGGCCGGGCCCGAGGGCAGCTCCGGGGGAGCCCGGTACAAAGCCAATCAGCGGGAGGTAATGCTTCAACTCCTCCGCTGCCGCCACCGCCGCCGTCTGCTCTGCTGGCTGCATCGCCCCGATCTGCACCTCCTGCTGCACCAGGGACACGTGAAGCTGGTCGAGCACATACGACAGGAGTGTCAAGCAAGTCCCCACGTGCATCACGCGTTGCTCGATGAGAGTTGGGGGCCCACCAGGAACCACGGCAGGAGGAGGAGGCGGCACGGGAGGTGTCACCGGCTGCCATGGGCGCTGCACAGGGGGGCTGCCATACAAGTACCGTTGGAACGACGGCGGAGACGGTACTGCCTGGGGGTTCTGAGCGGGCGGGAGCGGCGACGGGGGAGCACGTGACACCGAGGGACGCAGCTGATGCGGACGGAGGGGTAGGGGAAAACGATGGAGCGGAGATTGAGTCGGCAGCTGCGATGAGGAAGCCTGTGGTAGCTGATGCTGACGGGCCTGCAGTGGGGACGTCGGCAGACCCTGCGCCTGCCGGCGGTTCTGCCGCTGCCTTTGACGGCGGCTCAGCTTCACCCGCTGCCACCCTTTGGGCTGCACAGTCAGAGGCTGAGGAGACGAGGCCGGGCGCGGCTCCGGAGCAGTTCGCTGAGGTGGCGTTGTCCGCGTCGCCAGCGCCGGTAACGGCGGCGGCACTGGCGGCGGTGGTGTCTGCGGCGATTGGGGAACACGGCGACGCCCCGGTGGAGGAAGGCGCGACGACTGCCGCGGCGTGCGCCGGAACGCCTGTTGCTGTCGTGGCCGCAAGCAGGCAGGAGCACGGCCAGGCGGAGGGAAAGGCTCTGGGACCCGCAAGCGGCACTTCTTCCGGCGCTGCACGGGCAAGGTCGAAGACGAGGCTGCGGGCCCAGCCAGCGCCGAGACGGCCCGGAGCAGGGCTGGGACCTGGCTCCCCGGGACCCCTCCTGGGCTGGCTTCTGCAAGGGCAACCGCCATCAGAGCGAGCGCATCGGTCGTCATCGTCGAGCCAGCAGGAGTTGCGCGAGGTGGCCGAAGCTGGAAGCCGCCAGCCAGGAAACACCCGGGGTGCTCCTGCACTCAACGCGACACCAGCGACGACATCGCACGCTGAGGCACCCAACACATCGAACGTCGTCGCGCACAACACCCGCCATGCGACGCAACGAACGGCAATCACATGGGGACCGCCCCGGGGAGGCCGGACACCGTGGTTACCGGCGGGACGTGGAGCGGTGGGCGAGGTGACGAGAGCGCCAACAGGCGGGGGGCGGACTCAGCGGGGGGTCGGTGCACGGGGAGCGCGCGGAGGACGAGGGGGAAGGGCACTAGTGGGGGGATATGCGATCCCCGTGCGTACTGGCACCTGGCGGGAACGCCAGGATAGGCCAGGAGCGGTGGAATTACCAACGAATGAGGGACAGCCAGCGAGCTCTGAAGACAACGCTGGCGACCTAGAGTTTATGTGTGGTGAAGAAGCTGTTTCTGAGGAGGTGTCACTGGAAGAGGAACCTGGGGTGGACAGGAATGCTCCAAACTCGCGTGGAAGAGGGCCGAACGGGATAGCACGGAACCAATGGGCGGTGGGAGATACAGCGGGAGAAATCGAGGCGACAGATGTCTTCTCGCCCTCTGACTTGGCGAAGGAAGAGTCCATCTGGCAGGGAGCTGAGGGCTGGGATGTGAAGCAACTGCAACGGGGGGACCAGCCTTTCCTTGTCCGCCGCGTGCCCCCACAAATTCTAGACAAATACCGCCTCTGTTTGCTGGCACCTCTCCTGAGGCTGGAAAAATCCCCTATGTGCCTTGGTGCGTGGAAGATTCTGCTGTTCCTACCGAGGCTTACACTCCGACCCTCTCCCGAACCCGTTGCTGGGAGTCGCTGGGCTCGAATCGAGGCTCGGCTACATCAATTTCAGCAAGGGAATTGGGATGACCTTTTTGAGGAAGCCAGAACCGTCCCCGATACCGACGCCCCGTTACGACACCAACCCGACGACGAAGGGGTTTGTGCACGCGCCGAAGGATTAATGAAGAAGGGGAATATCTCGAAGGCAGTCGCTGCGTTACGCTCCAGCCCACTCGCTGAGCCTAGTTCGTCAACCCTCGCTGCACTCCAGGCGAAACACCCACCTGCCAAAGACGACATCCCGACCTGGGTAACAGGAATAGCAACTTCTGAACTCGCCGTCCCGGTTGACGCTCTCCGCGAAATCCTGGCGAAATGCCCGAATGGAGTGGGTGGGGGGCCCTCTGGAACATGTTTCGAGCACTTGAGGGATCCAGCTCTAGCCAACGAAGATATCTTAATCCTACTCGCTAGGACAGTCAACACACTCCTTAGCACATTCCAGTCCCAGGAGCTGCGCGACCTCATCCTAACCTCACGCCTGATAGCCTTAGAGAAACCAGGGGGTGGGGTCAGGCCTATCGCGATTGGCGAAACATTACTCCGGGTAGTAGCGAAAGCGGCTCTTCACTCCCTTGGCCCTAAGATCCGAGAGCTTTTTCTTCCGGTCTAGTTCGGAGTGGCTATCCCGGGGGGAGCGGAGTGTATTATCCACTCAGTCAGAGCGCTACTTCAGGAGGACGAAGCACGGATTGCGCTGCAACTGGACGTAGAGAACGCGTTCAACAGCGTTGAACGCAAAGCATTTTTTGAGGCCCTTCAGTGGTCCACCCTTAGCCCACTCCTCCCCTTGGTCCGAAACATCTACGATGGCCCGTCGCGGCTACTAGTTGACCAACGCTTCGGCACAGACCACATCTTGAGCTCCCGCGGAGTCCGCCAAGGAGATCCGCTCGGCCCGCTTCTGTTCGCAGCTGCGATCCAGCCAGCCCTGCTGAGCGTAGCCACTACACTGCCGAAGGTGGCGATCGTTGCCTACGCAGACGACATCACGATCGTCGGCTCACGAGAGGCTGCCTGCACCGCCTTCAACACGGTCGCCTCGGCTCTGAGAGCGGTGGGGCTGCGTTGCAACATAGACAAATCATCAGCGTGGGGACGGAACACGGGCGGGCAGCAGGAGGAGCTGCCACTTGGGCTGACCATGAACCTGGGAGGAATCAGAGTGCTGGGCAGCCCAGTGGGGAACGAGGGCTTTTGCACTGACGACGTACGGTCGGCACTGGGAGAAGCGGCATCGCCACTCCTCCTCATCTTGCAACTAAACCCGCAGCATGCGCTTCTCATGGTCTCACGCAGTATCTCTCGGAGGATCTCATATATGCTTCAGACGACCCCGGCATCAACACTAAGCACACGAGAGTGGAGGGAGTGGAGCGAGGCTCTCCTGGGCTCGGCACTCACTGCGGCGAAACTTCGGATCCCCTCCTCCGAGCTTGAACAGAGCCTGCTGTGGCGTCAGGGAACACTCCCTATCCGCCTAGGTGGCCTCGGAGTGATTGACCCTATCTCTGAAGCACCCGATGCCTACCTGGCTTCAGTCACGGCAGCACACATCCTACTGAGGCAGCTGAACCTGCCAACTGACTGCCTCCTGAGCCGAGCGACTCAGCTCCTCTCCCACGATTGGGCCCCACCGCCACCAGGGTTCAACCCCAGAGCCACTATGGAAGGTGCCCTCCCCGCTGAAGCCCGAGCAACACTGAAGCAGTACAGGGAGGGGACTCTAGGCACAGAGAACCTGCAGCTGGGGCTGTCGAAGTCTATCAACCAGCGGCGGGCCTTGGAGCTATTAGCGGACACCCTGCAGGACCGGCCGGGGGAGTACAGGGGTCATGCCATCCGCCTCATCAGCCTAAAGGGGGTGGGCGCAGGTGACTGGTTCCATGCCATGCCAACGAGAGGGGACCTTAGCTTATCCCCTGGTCAATTCTCGATGGCCCTCGGCCTGCGTTTGGGCATGGAGTTGCCGGTCGCCGAGGTGTGCCCTTGCAAGCGGGATAACTCGACCATCTCCGACAAGAGCCTCCCCAACCACCTCCTGTGGTGTGGGGATGGCGGTGACGTTGTAAGGACCCACAACGCCCTGGTCTTTGCAGCACTCCGAATGGCCAAGGATGCAGGTTACAAGACGTTCCATGAGACCACGGCGTTCTCTCCCCCGGTCCTCCGGAAGTGCGCAGACCTGGCCATTCGGGACCAGGAGTCGGGGGAAACGTGGGTAACCGATGTCACAGTCACAGACCCCGTACTTCAGAAGCGGGATAAGAGAGCTAAGAAGCCGCCGGGGTGGGCAGCAGAGGAGGCCTCAGAGGGCAAGCACAGGCTCTACGAGGGCCGCCCTAGCTATGCCGTCTTTTTTGGGCTAGCGGTAGAGACCTACGGGGCTCTGGCTAAGGACACGTAGCAGTTCATCCGTATGCTAGCCACCTATGCCGCCAAGACGAAATACAGGAAGGGACGCCTCACGACGACTGCCGCCTGCCTCAATGCACACTTCAGGCAACGGTGGTCCGTGGTGCTCCAGCGCAGCCAAGCGATCTCCCTCCTCTCCAAGTCAAACCGAGCAGCGGAAGCGGCTTTCCCACAGACAGCGGCGGACCCTTGGGCACCTCGGCTAGGTGACCTATGGCAGACCTTGGAGGACGAGTACGACGAGAGACACGCCCCTGCCAGGGCGGCCTGAGGGGTGAGGGTGCCGGGGAGAGAGGAACATGGGGACAGGAGAAGGAGGGGTGGCGGCAGGGGAGGGGTACATGGGTGCGGTGAGAAGCAGGGGGGGGTGTGCTGGGTTGGTGTGGGTCAGAGGGAACAGGGATAAGGAAGGGCGTCTCAGGGAAGGTGCGAGGAATCGGCGGGTTGGAGGGGGATAAGGGGAGGCTGTGTGGTATGGGAGGGGTCAGGTGGAAGAAACATGGTTCTCATGGTCTTGAGCCACTGGGGATCGGTCTGCTCTGAGAGTCAGGGGTGCTCTAGGATGGATGGGCTTGCTCTGTTTGCTTGTTTAGTTCTGGCCCCCTGGCTGCTCCAATACCTAGGCTAGCTAGTTACCACCACCTGCCATGCCTGTACCTTGTGACCCATTTAAATGCATGACTGCTTGAGAGAGAGAGAGAGAGAGAGAGAGAGAGAGAGAGAGAGAGAGAGAGAGAGAGAGAGAGAGAGAGAGAGAAAGAAAGAAAGAAAGAAAGAGAGAAGGAGGGTGATGGAGTGAGGCCTCACGGACGAGGAGGCTTGTGATTTAAATTTAAAAAAAAAAAAAAAACAAACAAAAAAACCCAGACCCTCAACCCGGCAAAGAGGCCCGCCTAAGGATGTGAGGCAGCCAGTATGGAAAAAAAAAAAAAAAAAAAAAAAAAAAAAAAAAAAAAAAAACAAGGAGACAAGGAAGGCAGAGCAATACCTTATTCATAAGCCCACGGGCCGTCCCCATGACCAAAGGCTAATCACCTGATACACCCTACCCCGGCTGCCCCCAACGTGCAGTGGCGGACGACAAGTTACAACATGCGGAGTGGGACCCGTACGAGAACGCAGTCACGGACGGCACGGTGAAGGTCATGCGCGACTGATTGCGGAACCAACTCCACTGGTGGATATCGTGGTGCGACAGCAGTTTCATCATCTCAATCATTGCCAGGGGTTATTGGCTGCCTTGGAAGTACATAGAACCACCACCCTTTGAAACCGCAAACCACGCAGGTGTCCACGCAAACACGACGTTCACTCGTGAGGCCATTCGCGATTTAATCACATCAGGCGCGGCAATGAAGGTCTCCTCGCAGACCGCGCTCTCGTGCATAAGTCCACTCAACATGGTGGAACAACGCGACAAATGCCGCCTCATCCTCGACCTACGCAAGGTCAATCAACAACTTCAACTTCCCAAATTCAAATACGAAGGTTTAAATCGGGTCTCAGAGATCATTCGACACAACGACTGGCTGTTCACCATCGACCTCAAATTGGGTTACCACCACGTCGAGATGCACCCATCATGATGGAAGTTCCTAGTACTTGTAAAACCAACTTGTCCAACTATATTCCTATGTCATAATAAAATGTAGGCTTTAGTGGGGTAGCCAATGTAGGGTATAGGTTTTTTTACTTGTACCCAACTTTCTCCATAGTGCAAAACCACCTTTCGTCCCTTACTCTTGATATGGTATTAAGAGCAACATAGATCCTTAGGACCATTTTAGGACTGTTTTTCAGGGCCCACCAACCGTTTTCCGCTGGTTACCACGTTACCCACCCCTTGCCTACACTGCCCTGAGTCGTGCAGCCCTCGCGCTCGCGTCTGCTGGCCCTCGTGCAGCCCGCTAGCAGCCTGCCTGCTGCCTCGTCAGCCCCGCGCGTAGGCCGCTAGCTGGCTCGTCAGACTCGCGCGTCGCTTACGCCGCCTGCACGCAGCCTGCACAAGCCCCGCGCATCGTGTTTGCCACCCGCGCAGCCTGCTGCGGCCCCGCGCGCCGCCTACGCCGCCCGCATACAGCCCGCATTGGCCCCGCGAGCCGCGTCCGCCGCCCGCACAGCCTGCTGCGGCCCCGCGTGCCGCCTACGCCGCCCGCACGCAGCCCGCCTAGGCCCCGCGCGCCGCGTCCGCCACCCGCACAGCCCGCTGCTGCCCTGCTAGCCGCCTTGAAGTGCGCGCGGCCTGCTGCTGCCCTGCTAGCCACCGTAGGAGCTAGCGTGTGGCAAGCTTCTGCCCTGCGCACTGCCTCAGCTACCTGCGCCAGCTTTGAGCG